TTTTGTTCTCTTTCATTATTTCTTGGTCAATTCATATATTAAACATATATCCAATAGTTTTAATTTAGTAATCACTCAAACATTATCTAACAATTTATTAAAATTCATAATCTACCATATTACAAAGAATCCTAATCTACCTTTGTCCACCTTTTTTCGGTCAACAACTTAGTAGCACACTTATACAACAAATTTCAGGTTTCTACAAACTGAATTTAATACCACCTAAATAGATTTTGTTCAGGGTGCTAGATACTTTAAGTATAAAGGACCCCTATTATCTCTAATTGTTGATCAACTCCTTTTCTCCTTCAACCCCCCCCTCCTTTTCTTCGGTCATTTCTTTTACTATCATTCTCATTAGTCTATGAGGAACCAAGTCTCTTCAATTTTAAATTCAATCACATATGTTATTACTTCAACTTCTTCAACTTGTTCAGCCTTACTTCCATCTTACTAAATTAATTTTTCATTAATAGGAGCATCTTAAATAAAGTCATTTAAATCATGAGGTATAATATCTAGCTTCAAATATTTGTTATTTAATTTTTACCTTGTCCTAGATGTGTTAAACATAAAAGGATAAATTTCATAAATACAAGCTAACCCAAAATTAAATACACTTTAGACCACATTCCATACGACGAAAAGCAACATAAGTTGCCTAAGGCACAGGTCATTATATTAATCATGACTATAAAACCATCATTGATTTGACATCTTTTATACCCTAAATTAATAAATAAAAAGTTTTTAAATCCCAACACCTAGATTGTTGTTATTTTTAAAATCATCAAAACTTGTTGAATCTTTTGGCTGTAGTAATACTATGTACAACTTTTTATAGTTTTTGTTGCATTGACATTCTGTTATCTTCATCCTTCAAAAGTATCTTGTCAATCAGTTCCACGTTGTTCTCCGAGTGCAGAGGTACCCTCTCACCCGGCTCTGGAACCCAATTGAGCCATGTGTTACCTTTAGTCAAATTTAATTTAATATTGAACATCACAATTATTTTATAACACAATGTACAACATTTCATAACTAAATGTAATTTAAAGGGTTTTTACCCTAATATTTTGGTGGCTCAGGCATTATGACCTAGTAAGTATAACCATCTTTTGCTTTTCAACCATAGTCAAAATTTCAAAATCTCGTCTGTTTTAACTAAATGGTTTATACTTATTTTTAGGCATTTTCGATTTTAATAACCTGATGATGGACTGTGTAGTCCGAAAACGTTTGTTTTATTGATGTGGCCCTTTTAAGGGTTTTTTAAATAAATATACCCATTTACAAAGATTAACCTCTTTTTTTTTATTCAGAATTATATCTGTGTTTTTTAATTTGTTGATTTTCATAGATTCTAACAAAGATAGCTTAAGACCTTTATTTTGAATGTGAAGAATTTTAAATTTGTCATTAAAAGAATGATTATGATCTAGAAGGTGAAGTGCGTGGTGTGGCATTCAATTCATCAATTATTGAACCACATATTTTTCTTAGCACTTTCCGTTCGGAACACCGTCATGTTTCTTGTGTAGCTTTTATTAGTGTCCAGGTATTGCATATGTACAATACTATCGAACTTATAACAATTTTATAAACGTTTATCTTAGTTTTTCTAAAAATGTATTTCGATCTAAAGATGTTTATTACATAATACGAAAACTGATGTCATTATCGTCTGTTATTACTGCTCCAAAATATTCAAGTTTTCTGACTTTCAAAATTGAAGTCTTTCAAATTGAAGGTTAAGGTCGATAAAACCATCATGAGACCAATAGTATGTTATGGATGTAAGAGATGGGCGATGACAGAAAACACAAAAAGAGGATTGGAAGTTTTCAAAAAAAAATTCTAAATAAGATCAGACTTCTAAGATAAAGTAGGTAAGACCAATCATTTAAAACGGGATATAGAGATCTAGATATAATCATGAACTTTTCCAACTATTAAACTTATATCAGAAAGCATGGCACTCCAGAAACTTCGATGGGCTGGTGATATAGTGAAGTTCGCTAATGACAGATTGTCAAATGGTAAAATGTAGGACAGAAGACCAAAAGGCACATAAAAAATGATAACATACCTGAAACATCCTACTTTTTTAATTGGCACTGTTTGACTTGTGGTTGCTTCTATTCTTAGTTATTAACATGATTTTGTTTTTCATTTATTTAGTATCTTATGAATTTCAATATAATTGATCATTTTATTATATTGAAGAGTATTGTTAGTAAATTATTGTCAAAGATTATTTACATATCTGATCTTTAATTTTCTTCTATTTTCTAATTACTTGAGTATAGGACATATTACACTGGAGTTAATATTGAATAAATACTTGAAAATATGCAAAACAGAAAATAAAACCAAAAAAACACTCAAACATATTACGCATGAAGAAAGTTGAATCTATTTAATGCTTTCTGATAAAAATATTTTTATTTTTGTGCGTTAAATAAATATACAACGTACCGGTTTTCCGACTTCCGAATTAACTCGTAAGTTAATTCCTTAAATTTCGAACGGTTGGCTTTTTGATTTGTTTATTGTCATTGCAGAAGCCAAAAGCACGAGAGAAATTGTAAACGTTTAAAATCAAATGGTACGTTCGTTGAAATTATCAGTACACGAGGGATCAAGACATTCCCTCCTTTGTATTTTTCATTGCTGATCGTTGTCGCAATGACATTATTCATTAGACTTTTCAGTCAGACTGATTTACTGCACAGTCGAGGTTAATTAATGTTATGCAGCACAATGACAACTGATCCTATTGTAAACTGTTGAGTGGGTGTCCACGAATATACATATAAAATTTTATAAAAATCGGGCAAGCTGTTTCGAAGGAGTGTGGCAACTAACTCTGTGACACTAATTTCGCTATTAAAAAATAAGGGTTGGTAATAGGAGGGTGAAAATTAATAGTTATAGGTATTGTTTAAAGCCATGTCCATGTAATTAAAAAAAAAAAATAACAATTTTGCCCAAAAAATTAAAAAATGTTTGGGATGGACCACCCTTAGGGCTATGAAAACTAGATCAAGTCCGATTCTCATACCTACCGAATACACAAATATAAAGTTTCAACAAAAAAAATATGAGTTATTAACAGAAGGGTGAAAATTAACGGATATTGTATTTCTTAATGATATACCATAAAAAAGTAGAAATAAAAAATTTTATTTTTACTTTTTGATGGTATATCAAAATAAAAAAAAATGTTTGGGATAAGGAACGCTCTTACCACTTACGGGTATGGAAAATAGATAACGAACTATTTTCCGACCTACAGAATACACATGTAAAATTTCATAAAAATCGGTTCGGTCATTTCGGAGAAATATGGCAACTAACGCTGTGGTACTAATATGACTTTTAAAAAAAGGGGTTAGTAATAGAGGGGGAAGGGAGACCTACAGAATACACATGTAAAATTTCATTAAAATCGGTCCTGCCGTTTGGGAAAAGGAAGGCAACATGCGATGTTCCCCAGCGCAGCGGTCACCCATCGATAACCGCACTCGACACTGCTTGACTTCGGTGATCTAACGAAAACCGGTATATTCATTTTGGTACGGCTATTGCCCAATCTATCAATACTGAAATTTATTTTGTTAATCCTAGTTTCCTTTGTTAATCATAGCACGTAATAAATAACATTGTTTTATTATTCTGTTGTCATAGGATGGCGTCATCTATTATAAGTTATATTGCGATTTAAAATAAGAGAAAAACTGTTTTTGAAGTCTTTCCGTATAATTTTTTGAATATTATCTTTTACACAAACCTTCTCCTGATAATATCAAACAAACAAAAAAAGAATTATCTAATTTGGTGCAGTTCTGAGACGTGAAGTTAAACGTCACTTATTGTTCAATTGAACTACAACTGTAAAGGTAAAGTAGTATCATTTTTTATAAGAGTATAATGTAACTGCTTGTCAAATAAATATTTCAAAAAGAAAATTATCCATATCGATTCAGTATTTCTCGATTTATTATAAAAACACTTTATAAGAACATAAAATGACATTTGGTAGATGCACGTAGATGTCATTTTATGATATACAATTAATAAATAGTGGTCATTCATCGAGATAAAAAATATCAAAATAAATGACGGTTGCGTTTCGATTTAATTTGAGTCTCTTAAGGTCGATTCAGACATATCAGTCCCGTCATAGTCTCGACGCCGAACCGGTCCTGTTTGGTCACAGAACTATCAACTATCTGATAGCTGGGAAACTGTTTGTCAACTGATGAGTGTGTTAACTGATATAGAGGTGTTACAAAGAATGAAGAAAGAATGTGAAGTCATAAAAACTGTTAAAATTAGAAAGATTCAATATCTGGGACATTTAATGAGGGGTGAGAAGTACGTATTACTGAGGTTGATTATGCAAGGGAAGATACAAGGGAAGAGAAACCCAGGACGACGCAAAATGTCCTGGCTAAGAAATTTGAGAGAGTGGTTCGGCTGCAGCTCATTAGAATTATTCAGAAATGCGGCCAACAAAGTTAAAATAGCGATGATGATTTCCAACCTCCGCTAGGAGAAGGAACCCGAAGAAGAAGAAGAGTGTGAATGCCGGCAACATATTGTATTAAAGAATATTTTGTATGACGGATTGTTCGGTTCGGCGCAATCACTGTGACGAGACGTGACTGATGTGTCTGAATCGAACTTTACCATTCTCTTACACATGTTTCTGGGTCTACCCGTCATTAGAGAAAGTTTGTAAGAAGACTCCTTTACAAACTCTCTCTGATGACGGGTAGACCCAGAAACACGTTTAAGAGAAGGGTAAGAAACTAAATTAAATCGAAACCCAACCGTCATTTATTTTGTTATTGTCCTTACTCGACGCAATGAGTACAAAAATGATAGTAATTTACATGGGTAAATTGTTGATGCATAGTTGAATATAAATATTCTCAGCAGTATACAGTTTACTTTAATTGATATCGATATTTAACTTTATACAAAAAATATCCTATCTTCTAAGTCAGACCAACAAATACATTTGCACTAAATTTTATTGCAATTAGTTCAGTGGTTTTTGAATATTAGCTTGGACAAACACCTGTGACACGAGATTTTTATATATAAAGATAAATATACTATTTATTTATTTAAAAATGAGATACAAAATAAACAAACATATTTTTCTTATTTCTACTTCTTAGTTTTTATCACATTCTTTAGATTCATATACTGCTGGAAGCAATACACAGCATTCTGTACCAGGATATTTAGGTAGCTGTAGATTGTACTTTTCTTCTAAGGCTGGAGGTACAAACCTTCCTCCTAGGTAATGATATTTTCCCTTAAAAAATTTGGCACACAATTTGGGAGCAGTAAGAGAAATCAGCATTTCTGGTTTGATGCCATCTTCAGGAGGACCCGAATTTACATCCCATCCACTAGGTATGTCAATGCTTAAATATGAAGAGTAAATTAAAAAGAGTCAAGTAAATACATTGTTAGAATGATAAATTAGAATTAACTCTTGCTATAATGAAACTTATAATGCTTTATAGTCCGAGATCTCAGGCCCATCTTCACTGTTTATTACTAACGAGCTAATTTTTCGTAAGTAGTTTCATTTTCACAGGACAGGACAAACTTTTGCCCTGTTGAATTCTATAAATATGTCTAACTGGTAAGCAGGTTTTGTATGTTTTCAATAAAATTGATAGTGTGTAAAATAATTTATTAATTAAGCTGAGTATACTTTCGACATAATAAATGTCATCATTAGAGCTATCGTCAATTAGGCAATAAATACTTCATAGAAGGAAAATTGTGGACAAACAACATATTAAAAAACAAAGATCGGGCTCTCTAGGCCACAGATCTTGGGTCTAACCCTTATACATATGTATAATTCACATCAAATACTTAAAATAGAACACATGGTTACCACATACAGCGACGACAACAGCTGTTTTTGACTTACAAAGTAAGTAAGTAAGTAAGTAAGAAAGTAAGTAAGTCAAAAACAGCTGTTGTCGTCGCTGTATGTGGTAACCATGTTTTCTATTTTAAGTATTTGATGTGAATTATACATATGTATAAGGGTTAGACCCAAGATCTGTGGCCTAGAGAGCCCGATCTTTGTTTTTTAATATGTTGTTTGTCCACAATTTTCCTTCTATGAAGTATTTATTGCCTAATTGACGATAGCTCTAATGATGACATTTATTATGTCGAAAGTATACTCAGCTTAATTAATAAATTATTTACACACTATCAATTTTATTGAAAACATACAAAACCTGCTTACCAGTTAGACATATTTATAGAATTCAACAATATTTTTTATGCTAATTTACATAATTATCTTAAGAATAAAAAAGTAAAATCCCTGTTAGTGATAAATTTTTGAGAATCAGCAAATCAACTGAGAGTGTAGAGTAGAGAGTGTAGTCAGAATACAAAACGACTTTTCAAGACCCTTCCATTGTAAAAATGGACTGAGACAGGAAGATAGACTGTCGTGACTCTTATTTAACCTTGCACTAGAAAAAGTAATTCGAGAGTGCCATATTAATACGAATAGCACCATCCTTAATAAATCTGCACAAGTGTTAAGATATGCAGATGACATAGACATTATTGCTAGGTCCACAGAATCTCTGATCGAAACATTTCAATCATTATTAAGGGCGTCTGCACTGGGAATGGAATTAAAAATAAACACACAGAAAACCAAGTATATGTATTATACTAGATCAGGCAATCAGATACCTAGACTGTTAATTGATGATCTGGAACTGGAAGGTGTGGATACTTTCGGCACAGAATAATAAACAATCAGAATGCCCACTCTCAGATGCCACCTTTGAAGTTTTTCAGCACATACGCCATGTTTTAGAAGGAAACACATAACACAGACATATAATTTGTGAAATTATGTAATTGTTTATATTTATGTTTAATTATATTATATTTATGTTATTATGTTTAACAATGTTATTATAATTGTATAGTATGTCTATGATTGCCGTAAGTCAATTAAACCGGGTTAATTTTTCTGTGCACACCACATAAACAACACTGGTTCCCTCTAAAACATGGCGGAACATCTGCGCGAAGGAGATGCGCGTACTTAATTTTCCATGGAGAGTGGGCATTTTGATTGTTTATTATTCTGTGCTTTCGGCTACCTGGCCTCGCTGCTGATCAAAGACCACAATGTCAGCGAAGAAATTAAAAGAAGAATAGTGCTTGCCAATAAGTGCTATTATGGCTTGAGGAAACAGATGGCCCAGATGGCCCCAAAACTACCCAGAAAAATTAGAGATGGGCGAGTCAAGTTATCCAACTCGAGTAACTCGACGTCAGTTCCTTACAAGAATCTACAGACCGAGAGTTTGGTACAAATTCCACGGATTCGCGCAATCGTACTTGTAAGTTCGTATAGTCGGCTGGAGTTACAATTTGCCAAATTTAAATGTAATCGTTTCTACTCATTCATATTAATATTATAATGTATAATATATTAAAGTTTTTAATATTGGTAATATTATTAAAGCTTTTAATATATTTTTTAATATTAATAATAATATTAAGTAATTAAATATTGCGCCTTACTTAAAAGAAGTACGAGATAAATAACTCGTTTTTTTTTATATGAAAGTGCAATTTTCTTGCAAATGCCTTGAGAGAGGAAATTTCCAATATACCTAACACCAACCAAAAGACAAAAATATTAACTTAGGTACATGCAATCATTATCGCTGCTTAGCGTATTTTCATCGAAATCGACCGCTGTGCTGACTGGTAGTTTTTTTTTTTAAATTGTGATGTATAAATAAAGTATATATTAAATAAAGGGTATTTTAAATAAATCTGTAATATTTTATGCGAAAAGAAGAAAAGACTCAGTTCCGAGTCGTGAGCGTATTCCTTATATTTTCTTTAATTGTGTTAAGCTACTCGGATGTGAGTCGTTGTTATAATTATTCAAAAAAAATTAATTTACAATATTTTTTATTAAATCAAATGAGAAATATTATAGCAAATTAAGAACTAAGGAAAAAAAAACAAATTTTCATTTCCTAGCAAATTGTTTCTGAACACTTAAGATTAAAACTTCCAAATAAAATTTGGATAATATTGTAAAGGCTTTTATACACTGAAATTAAATTAAAAAAGAACATGAAAAAAGTGGAAAAATAATAAAAAATTCCCAAATTTAAATATATTTCGAAAACAAAATACGATCTGGAAAAAGAATACCGGAAATGTTTAATTTTTTGAGCTCTTCGATTGTGTAGTACCTTTAATTTCAGTGTTTTTCAACAATACTCAAGTATTCCGATTTAGTACTCTCAGCCTTATAAAAATTTCCAAGAAATTAATATCGGATGGAGTTTCAACAAGCGAAATGAAAATCCTAATATTAAAACAGCATTATGACCAGGTACAATATCTGACTGTTATGCAAATTAGTAGGTAATTAGAAAGTCAGTATGGGCAAAACCAGCTTATTCAAATTATAGGTACCTACCTTCAGTGTTGTATTGAAGGATTTTAATTTATTACCCTTAGCATACGTAAAGATATAAAAAACGAGTTATTTATCTCGTACTTTTTTTAAGCAAGGCGCAATATTTAATTACTTAATATTATTATTAATATTAAAAAATAGTATTAAAAGCTTTAATAATATTACCAATATTAAAAACTTTAATATATTATACATTATAATATTAATATGAATGAGTAGAACGATTACATTTAAATTTGGCAAATTGTAACTCCAGTCGACTTAGTTCACGAACTTACAAGTACGATTCTCTACCTATATATACTTAATCTATGGTACGATTGCGCGAAGCCGTGGAATTTGTATACCAAACTCTCGGTCTGTAGATCCTTATATTAACCTTGGTCTACGATCACCATACCACCGATGACGCGTACCCGACCCGACGCGACGATTTCATAGTCTAGCTGGTCTAGTCGAGTTAGACTCCGACCAAGTTTAGTTTGGGAATATGACTCATAAATCGACGATGCGCAGTGGTTCTTGTTTACTAGTGTTACCATAGAAACGGCCAGTTTGCTGTTTGCCAGTGTCGTAGTTGTATATTGCAGAGAGTTTGACTTGTTGATTTCATCGTGTTGGATATTTTATTATTTTATTTTATATTAGTGCTTAGTATAATATTGGTAATAGTAATTAGTGAATTATCAAGTCATTTAGTGTATTTATAGAGTGTTATGTTTAGTTATTAATAATAGTTATTTAACAATATGGCTTCTAAAAAGATATGAACAAAAGGGCTGGGATTAAATAGCCAAGCAAAGACAATAATTTATAATGTTACTACATTTATGGAACAAGAGGCGGCATATTTCGAAGCAACCGAAAACCTGTTAATATCTTTAAAGAAATTAACGTAAGTATTGTCAATGATATTTTATTTTCTTATGTGTGTATTTGTGTGTGCCTGTATGTGTGTGAAAGATATGACACGGAAAGTCCATCGGCCACAGAATGTTTTATTTATGTTTAAAGATATTTTTTTTTGTTCTTGTTTGTTTTTTTTTTTAGATATATGTATAAATCACTGAAGTTATAAGTACTAATTAATATTTCTACTTTCACATCTTTACATGTAAAGTGGGGTGTATCTGGAAATATGTATTTTGCGAGTTTTCAACAATATTCTCCCAATGCTGTTCCCATTTCAGTCAATTTTTTATTTTTTATTGAGTTAAATATATCCCTTACTGTATAAATATTGCAAAAGACTCCATTCTGCACTGCTTCCTTAGCTAGAGTATCAGCTTTTTCATTCCCTGGTATACCTACATGGCCTCTAACCCAAATAAATGTTATATTTAAATTTACAATCATGTTTATTAAACAACATAACATTGGACACTTCATCCCTTTAAATTTTGTATTTTTTGAGTAGGTTATTGGATATTAACCATGTTATATATTGAGTATGTTATTGGATGTTAACCAGTAGTACAGTTTTCTAGTAAAAACATTGATATAGATACATTTTTAACAAAAGCGGTAGATACAATTCCTTTACAATTTTACTTACTTAGTAAACAAGATTTACGTTCCAAATATTTTAACTATTTCTATTTATTTAAGGTATTAATCAAAAACGTATATTAAATACGTTTACGTAATAATGTATCTTAAATTAATATTTTATTGGTATCGTTTTAGTTCAACTTTAATCAAATTTAATACAAAAGTACTAAATATTTGGATAATCTATTTCGATTCCGGTTTCCGAAAAACTGTAAACAAAAAAAAAAACGATACGATTCTACATAATTTTTGTTTTTAACAAATAAATTGTTCTCACTTCTGTATGTTGTGATAGATACATTTAAACCATCATACTTTTGAAAATATATTCTTCAAATTATCTTGAACAAATTGCAGGTGGAGAAAACCCGAAGACAATAGGAGTGTCCTAATGGAAAAATATGAAATTCATTTAAAACGAATAGAATATTTAAAGAAGCTTATTCAATTTCTATCTGAGGGTAGAACAATAGTTTATACCGACAAAACATATATACACAGCAGCCATACTGTACCATACCACTGGGCAGATCAAAGTGGAAAAACTTTAAAGAAATCAATTTAAACGGAATTATATAAGATTATACAAGCCAATGAACCATGTTTTCCATCCGTTTATGTATTAGATTATGAGCTTGAACAACATGGACATAAAGTACTTCGCTTGCCTCCCTATGATCCGGAGTTAAACCCTATCGAAAAAATATGGGCTTTGGTAAAAGGTAGAATGGCCACTTATAATACAACAGTTAACATAAATGATGTTGAAAATATAACAAGAACAAAATATTTAGAAGAGAAGAAAAATATGAAAACACTCAAATCGCAAAAGAACATTTATTAGACTCTACGCTGGACCACTTACAATTTTTATGAATACTGGTTCATCTGAAGACAGCCTTTCTGATAATGAAGATAGTGATTGAAATTCCGGAATAGATTAGTTTTTGTGTGATATTCTATAACAAAATATAGAAGTCTTTACAATCAGTACTGTTTAGAAAATAAATACATTATTTAATTAGTTAAAATAAGTTACTTATTTTTTTTTGTTGTTGAAACCTTTCCTTTTTTTCTGACAATGTTAATAAATAGTAAGTATTAAGGAATTTGTTATTTATTAAACTACTCCTAATAGTTTACTCATTATTTTATCGAATGCCTGACTATAAACTTTATAAATATTAAAAACTATAAAAATAAAAATTGACAAATTCATTCTCACTTTAATTGAATATACTTATGAAAATTATTTTAAAGCTACCGGTTTCCATCCGCCACTGGTAGAAACGGTCCGCCCGTCTGCGCGAAACACTACGTCACATTCCCAAACTTAAGTTTGTCGGACTTTACGACTAGTCGAGTCGCCGTGGTCGGTGTTGAGTCGTTGAGTGCAACAAACAGTGAGATTGTGTGTTCGCGTCGATCAACCACCAACCCCACTCACGTTAACAGCATAAGTTCGGTTTAGACACTATCGAAATTGCAAGAATATTATTTTTATATATACTTATAATGTCACTTAGAAATAGAAAAAGTGTGGCGTGGGAATTATTTGTAAAAAACGACGATAAAACCAAAGTAGTATGCAAATTATGCTCTTGCTAATATAAATACATAGGGAACACTACGTCATTAATGAATCATATAAAGAAAAAACATATAGTTCAGTACAGTGAAGTGATTGGACAAAATTTAACAAGTGAGAGAATAGAGAATAATGCACCCGAATAGAGTTCTAGAACCTCTTTGATGAATAGAACAGATTCTCATCAAAACAGTACCATTTTAGCACCATCGCATATACATAATGTCAGAGCATTCAATGAACCCGTTCCGAAGCGCCCAAAAGAAATGCGTTTAACTGTATCTACAAAAATGAACCAAAAAATTGGTGACGATGCATTATTGGACATGATTGTTGTAGATATGCAACCACTGCAAATAGTTGAAAATGAATGTTTTACAAAATATACAAACAAATTAAACTCGGATTATATATTGCCATCGCGAAAAAAAAAAAATAGCTCAAATGCTGGAAGACAAATACAAAATATGCAGTTTAGAAGTAAAAGAGAAGTTACAAGGTGTAGAGTATATAGCTCTGACAACAGATATATGGAGTTCAGATAGTCAAAAAAGCTTTATAAGTGTAACTGCACATTTTATAAAAGATGTAAAATTGCATTCTATAGTAATTTCAACGACTGAACTGTCTGAACATCATACATAATTAAATATTACAAATGCTTTGCGAACAATATTATTAGATTGGGAAATTTTTTATAAAATAGTAGATAACCATTGTAACTGATAATGCTGCTAATATGAAAAAAGCAGTCAGGGATTTCCTAAACAAAAGAAATCACTTTTTAGTGGCTCACACCTTAAATCTTGTCGTAAAAGACTGCATTAGCAAAGATAATGAAAATGACCGAAATTCTGATTTAAAAAATGCCGCAGTGCTGGATGTTATATTAAAAAGTCGTGCAATAGTGACCCACATTAAACAGAGTATAAAATCGTCTAATACACTGAGAGATATGCAGAGAAAAATGAACTTAGATATTATCAAACTTAAGCAAGACATACAAACAAGGTGGAATTCGACATATTTAATATTTGATAGATTATTGAGAGTCAAAGTTCCTCTATCCGCGACTTTACCACTGTTTGACTCATCCCCATCAGGCTTGACATCAGCTGAATGATTAATTTTAGACGATTGTGTAGCAATTTTACAGCCAATAGAAAAAATCTCCACAGCATTATCTGGGAAATCATACCCGATGCTATTATGAGACAACTACAAAATTCTTTAATTAAGAAGACTCCAATGACTGAACCTGGGAAACACCTACAGCGATCGTTACTTGAAACTGTAGACAAAAGATTAGGTGTTTATGAAGTTAACCGGACTGCATCAATCACAACCATTCTAGATCCTCATTTAAAAAAAAAGGCATTTGGAACGGACAGTGCTGCAGAAAATGCGGTTAAATATGTATTGGATGAACTGGCACAATTTCAACAAGTTCATGAGCAAATACCAGAACCAGCCGTAGTGTTGACATCTGGAACTTCAGCTAAAGACGATGACGACGATATATGGGAGCATTTTGACAAGAAAATAAGTGACACTGTCATGCAACAGACAACAATCTCCTCTGCTACCATTGTTTTAACACAATATCTAGATTTGCCATATCTAGATAGAAAGCAAGACCCACTACATTTTTGGAGGCAAAGGGAACACATATTTCCTTCCCTATGTCACATGACATATACATATTTATGCATTCCTGCTACCTCTGTGCCATCAGAACGCCTTTTTTTCTAGAGCTGGATTACTTACTAATCAAAGAAGGAACAGACTCATGCCAAAAAAAGTTGACCAACTATTATTTTTAAACTCTTTCTGTACTGAAAAAAGGAAATAATGAAGCAATTTGTTATTTTATGTATATATTCTTTTATTGTAATTTTATTTAAAGAAAAAGCAGTTATTTTATTATCTAAGGAGATAATTATTTAAGTTTCGTTTTTTTGTACTTACAGTTACTTAACTTTGCTAGTCTTGTCTTAAATTAAGTAGATATCAAAGACTTCTTTAAAATGTATGTAGTTAATGACTGTTGTTTAAGAGTGCAATATTGATTAGTTTTAGAATATTATTTACACATTTAACAGTTAATAAATGTTATCTAAAAACTGCAAAGTAATGCACATTAGTACCTTTAAATCATTTAAGTGTACACAATCAACTAAATTTTAATATTTGAGACTCATTCGCAGTTCCTTTTATTTTTTCATAATATTTTTAATTTTTTCTAATAAGTATTATTAAGAGTATTTAAGGTATATATACTAGTACGTAATACATATAAATATAGCAAGTTTATTGTTAATAAACATTTGATTGAAAATATATACTATTTTTTATTTATAACAATATTACATTTATCCTATTGGTTTTCAAATTGTTTAAAAATATCAATAACTAGTCTTGTGCCTTCTAATAGTCGCTGATATGACACCAAGTATGACCTTGAGTCAACTCGAGTTGCAACTTGAGTTGATCGATATATCAACTCGAGTCAGAAAAGATCAGACTCGTCACATCGCTAAGAAAAATTAAAGTTATATATATAAAACACTAAGAAGTCCAGTTTTAACGTATGGGTCAGCAACATCATAGTATTAACGTATGGGTCACTTACACAGAACGACCCAGAATTGCTTAAATGTTTTGAAAGAAAAATTCTAAGGAAAATATATAGAGGAGATCAAGAACAGGGTTTGTGAAGTATGTGCTACAACTTTGAGTTATACAAAAGTTTTGGGGAACCTGACATTGTAAAATTTATTGAATTTTATGCATGCCTTCGATGAATAGGACATATAATTAGGCAAGATGAAGATACAACGATCAGAAAAATTGTTGACCAAAGAGGACCAGTGGGAAGATGAGCCAGAGGAAGACCAAAACTTAGGTATCAAGATAACATAGAGGATGATCTAAAATCCATCGGAATTAAAGCACAGAGAAGAGTTTCCACATACAGGGGTGAATGGAAGATTGTTCTGGAGAAGGATTTGGCTCATAACTAGCTGTAATGCCACTGATGATGATGATATATTTATTATTGTCAAATACAAATATCACTAAATGTATTTCAATGATTCTCAATGCATTATTAACCTATTACTTGGTCAATTTGAATTATTACCTTGCTATAGGTACTTTTGTTTCCTTCATCAGATTAATAACTGGTATAAATTCTTCTCTTACAGGTGGTTTAAAGCTAAATCCAAATAAAGCATCCACTATAATACCAAATTCACATTCAATGCTGGATTTATCAGGTAAACTCTTAATTATGGATATATTCATTAACTGACATTGTTTGATAAGATTATTGTAGAGATCATTTTTTGTTTCTTTGGGATAGTATACAATTGGTTTATATCCAAAAAGTACTAAATGTCTTGCACATACTAAACCATCTCCACCATTGTTACCAGGGCCACAACAAACCTAAAATAAAAGTCTGTACTAGATATTTGCATCAACTGGTCTAGACCAGTAATGTCATTACAAAATTAATATAATGACTGTATTGTCATTTTTTAAATGTTTTTTGTGTTAAAGTTTGTTTGTAGAAGACACTTAAATTTGTTTGTGCATCAGGTATGTATAAACTTTGGTAATAATGAAACTAAATTTATTTTTATATCATAGTAAATGAAACTTACCAGTATAGACTTGATGCCAATATCACTGTGTTGATAACTCTTAGCAATAGCCGAAGCACAGCTTAAGCCAGCTAATTCCATTAACTGATCAACAGAAAATGAATAGTCATTAAAAAGTTCCAAATCAATTGACTGAGCTTCTTTCTGTCCAAGTAACTTAACCATTCTTAATATTTGACTACTATTAAAGGATCTAAAAAATGTTGTCCTAATTACATTAACCAGCTTAATACTCATAAATTTCATATTAAAACATTTTGGGTATTAATAAAATCATTTAACATACATTATGTAAAAAATAAACAAAATATTTCCACAAACTAATTATAAGTACATGTCATTCATTGAAATGTCAAAGTGACAGATGTCAGATGTTACATTTACCATTTACCGGTTCACAGTTAATTTACCGGTATTGATTAATCTAAAGAATATCTCACAATCGATTTCCAGCATAATCGATTCTTCGAGTTGGAAGACGTATTTTGCACACCGATGCCAAGCTTCCCAGTGTTCGGTAAAATATAGAATTTAAAATACTGTGCTTGCTACCGCTACCGCAAACCCAAAATTTATTTCTTCAAATAAGCTAAATTTTGTTTTTGAATCGATTAGTTCAAAAAGATGATATTCTTTTTAATCTTTTAATAATATTAGGTCATTTCCTGATTATAAATTTGTCTAGGTCTATGTTAAAATAGGTAATAATAAAATCATTGGTTTTTATTTTCAATATTTTTTAGTAAGGGATTTGTCTTATTATTAAGCCACGTGCACAATGTCATTAGCTAAAAATGGAACATTCTAATCATAGAAGTTGCTGTACCTATACCTTTTGCGTTTCTAAAGGTTTAATTTCATATCTAATAAATCGTTATTATTCAAAGTTTAAAAATCGTACGAGTTTACGTCATAAGCTACAAGGTTCAAAGTGCTCCCGTTATATCTTGTCCTTGATATTAACTCACCTACTTAAACCTCTGTTTTTCTGTAATACTGCATATGCATTCGCGATAATTAGTTTTATGAGTGTCGAACATTCTTAAAATCTTAAGTGTTTAAAGGTTATTAGACTGTCATATCTAAAACGTTTGACGAAATTCATTCCTTCATCCTAATCTGATCATCATGGTTAAAGGTAATAGGTTATCTTGTATTACTAATATCACTGATTATAAGGTAGTTGAAAACAATGAAATCAGTTTTTTTAAGAATTTAGACCGGTTTCTTGACTTTAAAAATATAAACAAAGGTTGTCACTTGTTATTTTAATTTGTTTATATGTTTTTCTTAGTGTGAGCTACACGTACACAAAAATTAAAATTGATGCTATAAAATAGTTACATTTACACAACATTTAATCATTACTATTATCTTTTATGGAATGGGGATTGGTAGAAAACAGTTTTTTGATTTTTTCACATGCAAACATGTTTTTTTTTTTCGTAGTGGTTTCTAATAGAATATTTTTGATAATTGATAAGACATATGCAACAAACTTAGCAGCAATTTACAATAAATGCTACAGCAGTCAATATCTGAAGCAGTGAGTAGACTATATGCATGAAACATACTATTATAAGTATTTAACATAATTTTTAATTTTTTTTCAAAATACTCACAGTTTTTAAAAACAAAATTAGCAACTTCATTTTTGAAACTTATCTGTCTTGACCTACTTATACTTGTGGAATGGTAAACATATGAAAAAATATTGCCTTCTCTTTCTTCAGAATCTTAGGTGTTTCATTACATAACATATAAACTATTGCTTTGTTTATTAAATTTCAAAATATCTTTAGTTTTCCAACATCCAATGCATTTACAAAATACAATATTCCTAAATTCTTCTACATTTTATATTTTAATAGAAGTATCCTTTATTTAGTTTATATCAAGGAGTATTACTCCTATTTTCTTCCTTTTTTAATTGGGAGGTCAAAGATTTAATCATTATTAGACACACAAGACAATCAAGTAATGCCGAAAGATACAAAAATACTCTTTTTTTGTACTTCAAAAAACAGAATGTATCAAAATTCTGTTTGTGCTTAGAAACCACAAACAGAAAATATTCATAATTTAGTGTAAACAGAAATATTTAAACTGATCAGAAAACTAGGTAAAGGAATGTTAGGTAGAACTTATGAACATAAGATCAAAATATTTTTATTTCTGTATTTGAACTGTCTTTTAGTACTATAAGGCACATGAGATAGACTAAGATCTCTTGAATGCGAAGACACACAATGTATTAAGTCTCCTAAAAGTAATAAGACTTGAAGAGTTGCATTGATAACCTGATAATTTCCAGAAGAAAGTAGCAAGGAGGAGAAAAGAACAGTTTTATGTAGAACACAATGTAACTTCTTACCTACAGACCATCATTTAAAATATTTATCCTGCTTAAATAAGTTAAAGATGATTCAGAGAGATATAACATCTCTTTAAAAATATATTAAAAGAAGTACTTATTAATAATAATAAATAGTGTATGATGTAACAACAATTTTATTAAGATAAGGACAAAGTTAATGTTACACCTTTTTGTTCTTAAATTAAACATTAAACTAATACTGGTGATAAAAGCTAATCAAGGTTACATGGATCATCTGTTTGAGATTTTAAATTATCTATTTTTATTTACAAACATTGCTACCAAGTGTGAAGGTTTCCACTGAATGGGACTTTCTATTTTATGTTTATCTTACATTATTAGAGGCATTACAACTAGAAAACTATTTCAAAAATGCATAAATTGTGAGGAAATACAAAAAGAAAGAAAGTCGCAATATTACAATTTACATAAAAAGTCGAAATACAAAAATAGCAGAAAAATAAGTTGCTAGATTTTTTCTGAGAAACATGTATGAAAACAGTTCAACAAAACAGAAGAAAATCTCCAATAGTAATTAACTATTATAAACTACTCATTAATTAAAATATAGAATCTACAGAAATTGTACTACAGCCCTTGGTTAACTATCATAAGGAGCCATCCATCCTATGGCTCTACAGCTCAATTTGATCCCTGTCCTCCCTCAACAAATTTCTCCATTCATTAAAGTTTAGCCATTCTCCTACTTGATAAACTGCCAAGGAGATTTCTGGTATCCTCATCATCCTCCTATCACTTTCTCGGTCTTCCAATAGGTCCCTTACCTCACATTATTGCATTTAACAGTTTTTTTGTGAGTCTGTTTTCTTTCATCCTAAATACATGGCCTGCTAATTGAAGACGCTGTAGGTAGACATACATAAAGGTAGACATACATGACAGAGATAAAGGTGGTTCTTCATATATATTATATGTTTCATAATTAAATCTGATGCCACCTGTTTTTCTCATTTATAGGGCCAATATTCATCTCAGTACCTTTCTTTCAAATATGTTTATTCAGTTTGCAGATTTTTAAGTCAACATCCAAGTTTTACATCCATAGCTCACTACCTGTCAGATTATGGTCTTATAGATTTGTATTTTAGTTCTTTGATTTAAGTCTAATGATTTAAATATTAGACTCATAGCAAAGTATACTGTATTGACTATGATGATTCTTCTGCTAAGCTCTGCATCATGAATGTTGTCCTTTGTGATGTTGACTCCTAAATTGATAAAGTTATCTACTTTTTATACTACTTTTCTCTCTTTTATCATAAGGATACAATTGAGAACTTCAAATCTTTTACATTGTGGACCAATTACTATAAACTAAAAACAAACTTTAATTGGCAATAATAATATAGACTGTATATTATAGTCTAAACTGAGAGCATTTTAATACAAGCTCAAAATACTTTCAAGCCACGAAATTGACAAGTTCTTATTAAATCTTCAAGATCACTTAGTCTATTTGAAGTAAAATTAAAAAGTATTAGAAAAACTTAAAGTCCAATATGTTGTTTTATTGTGTGTTCAGTGATAAACCATAAAATAGTTCCAAAATGTTGATTAATTAAACAACAAATAAACATTTACAAATTTTTTATTTCTGGAGTAAGCTATTTTTTAAATCAAAATCATAAAATGTGGATATTAAAATCAAACTCTCAATCTAAAAACAATCAAAGCAGCAATCTCGTTTTGCAGTATTTGTTCCCACTCATTTACCAGTACCTACCACCTACCTACTAACACTACCATAGTTTTAAACTCACCATAATTTTGTCTAACTACTCTTCCCAACTGGTCCCACAAATGCTCTATGGGGTTAAGGTTTGAGCTTCTAGGCATTGTTACCCTGACTATGTGAGACAGAGCGTTATCCTGCATTAAGAGAAAGTTTTCACCTATAAAATGCACATATTCTTCCAGACATTCCCTAATGTACCTCTCAACATTAGACCACCCCTCTAACATAACAAGATCTGTACATGCTCCCAAAGAAATGCTGCCCAATCATTCACCACCAAACTGTACTCTAAAAGGGAAGCAATATTGTTCATCTTCTCCACAGTCTTTGGCGACTATAGGTATCTTGTAAAACGAGACATCTGTAAATGGAACGTTTTACAGTCTCTCATATTCTAATCTGCACAAGCAAGAGATAACTCCAGTATTGTTTTCGACAAGCTGCGTCCAATAAAAGGCCTGTAACAGGTACATAAGATGATAAATTTTGGTTGGTTATCTTTTGTGTATTATATCAGGTGAAACTATGATACCATCTTTCAGTCACCTAGTCAAAACGGCAAAAGTAACTATCTGCTTTAACCACTTGGAGTATAAAAAAACTGTCTTTCATGACACCTGTTGTCCTTGGTCTTCTCTGTCCAGGTCTTATTGAATCAAACTAGTTTCTCGAAAGTTTCGTCATTGCAAATTTGAGGAAACCAGTACCGACCTAAATGTATTAGATTTATATAAAATATACTTATCTCAGACCTAAAAACAAAGCAAATCTTTGGTATAAATATTTTTCAAAAATTCCATCACCAGCCATAAAATACTTACCTAATACCTAATTTACACAACTAAATTGGTAAGTGTATAAAGCAAGTTGGAAGGTGAAAATCCATCATTGTCAGAGCAATTTACCTGAGCAATTAACTTGAAATCAAGAACAGCTATTTTTCATATATTTTACAAGGTCTTAATGCTACGATGAGCATCTTTCTTTCGAGATAATATAAAAATTGAATGCAGTGTTCCACATATGAACATTTTAAAGAACCATTAACTATGAATCAACCACAAATTAAGATGATTAAAAAAAATGCATATTAATTAACAAAAATTGTGTTTCCCAATAAAAATGAAATATGTAATTTTCTTTTTGATTTCCTATACTTTCCAATTTAACTATATTTTAATCAAATTTCGTTATTACTAATTTTTTAAGGTTTTAATTAAAATATTCACAAATCTAATTTTGATTTTATTTGCATAGGACATTTACAG